ATTTGCACATCCATAGGCCTCACCCAGTTTTTCCTTGGTCAAGAGTTACCATTACCTTCAATGTCTGAACTACTTTCATTGAATATCCTTGTGTTGAGTTGATTGGCACTGATAGGATACATCCCTTAATGTTTCAGTTGCAAAACACTGAATACACAGCATGTTGACTGTCTTTTTTCGAAAGTATTGTTTTAGGAGTGACATGAATAGAGTGTCTGTGGCAGTTAATCTCCAATAATTATTTCATTTAGCAAGACATCATTCAATCCCACTGTCATCAATGAACGTCAGTTCATGTGTGAGTTCACGCTAAGAACTTCAACTTTTAGGATAAAAGTTGAAATAAAAAGGAGGAGAGGGGCCTAATTGAATTCAGCAACACATATTTTAAAGATTAATTTAACTTACAAAAAACTGCAAATGGTAAGCATGATCAAAAGATATTTCATTCTACCCTCTCACACAAATGGAATATTTCTCTTATGATCAAATCCACTGGAACATGTACATTCATCCGCTACAGTAAAACCAAGGCATTTCACCATTCTGATACTTGTAAATTCTAATATGTCTGAGAGTACAAGACGACGACAATGCACAGAATTTGCATTGTTAAAGACGAAACAAAGGTACTTGCCTTCTAATCAGACTATTGATCTGTTTTGTTTAATTTGGCCTACATTGCCCAGCAATGGCTCTCCAAGTTTCTCCAAGTCTGTATATTAATGCCGAGCATATAGAAAATAAACAAAAACAAAATAAGCTTGAGGTCTTAGTACAGAAAAGTAAATATGATGTAATAGGAATAATGGAAACTTTTTGGGATGAATCTTATGACTGGACAATAGCAATTAAAGGACACAAAATGTTCAAAAAATGGAAAGGAAGGAGGAGTTGCACTTTACCTTAAAATATTCATTCCTGCTTAGAAATGCAAATGAACAAATCTGGCAAAACCATGGAGAGCATTTGGGTTAAAATAAATGTAGGAACAAATACAAATAACACTGCATTGCCCACCCATTTGAGAAGATGCGGAAGATGTCTCCCAAAAGCAAATCTTTGCATAACTTTCAAAGAAGCATGAAGATTTTAATTATCCCAACATCTGTTGAAAGACAAACTGTAGCAAACATGGGTGTTCAGGAAATTTCTTCTTGTCTTGTTGGCAAGTAGAGGAAAACATAAAGAGATCAACTATGACTTGATCCTAACCAATAGGGAAGACCTAGTCAAGGAAATGGAAGTAGCTGAAACACTGGATATAATGTTGGGTTTCTTAATTTTAAGGAAAACTAATATTGAGGATAGTCAAATACATTTCCAAAAAAGCACACTTGATTAAACTCAGAGCAATAAGTAGGAAAGAGTTGTTCATGGGAAAAGGAGTTCAGTATGGATGTGAGTTCCTAAAGAAGATACTCAAAGCACAATTACAAACAATTCTGATGAGGAAAAAATGCAATATAGTAGAAGAAACCAATGTGGCTATAGGATCTTAATGAAGATCCTAAAACAAGAAAGAAAACATATGTGAAATGGAAAGAGGGCCATGTCACCAATAAAGAGTACAGATAAGTAGAATGGAACTGTATAGTGGGTGTCAAGAAGCTGAAAGCTCAAAATAAGATGAGGCTAGCAAAGTATGCTGAGAACAACAAACAGTGTTTCTTTAGACATGTTCAAAATCAAATGCAAGAAAAGCATCAGTATATCAACTGCTCAAAAAAAGATGGCAAAGTACTAATAGGTAATAAAGACAGAGTAACCATGAATGAGTTTAAAACATCAGGAACAGAGGAATTGCTCCCAGGGTAATGATCTGGCTGAATCCTTATACAATGCATTTGAAAAATAATCTGAAATTCCAGGTAACCGGAGGAGCACAAACATTGTCCCATCTTCCAAAAGAAGGAAAAGAGGAGTAAGGCAACTACCTGTCATTCTGTCTGAAATTGTGACTTGGGAAGATTTTACAGCAGATCATAAAGAGATCAATCTGTAAGTACCTTGAAAACAAAGCAGTAATTAAATCAGCATGGATTTGTTAACAGCAAATCTTGTCAAACTAACCTTATTTTTTTATCAGGAATTGTGGGAATGCTGTAGACATAATATATCTTGGATTTAGTATATATGTGGGGAAGATGACACAACAATTAAGTGGATGCATAGCTGGCTTTGTGGTTAGAGAGTAATCTTCAAGGTTCCTTACCAAACTAGTGAAAGGTGTTGAGTAGTGTGTCACATGGCTTACTTTTATTAATGTTTTGGGTGAAGAGATAGAGGGAATGCTTATCAAATCTGCAGATGACTCAAAATTTGATAGGAAAGCTAAAACTTTAGAAGACAGACATAAAAGGGGCAACCAACCCTGGGGGTGGCTAGCACCTTGAAGATGTTCCTGTACGTTAACATCTTTTCTACCAACAGCACCTTGGAAGATATTGTTATTTATGGATGTATTTGGTTTTTATTGTATTTTTATTGTATTTTTATAACATTTTTACTGTATTTTAATTATTATTACTTTTTTTTTATTGTAAACCACCCAGAGTCACATCCTAGTGAGATGGGTGGTAACCAAATTTGAAATATAAATAAATATAAATTCAGAATGAATGACAGTTGAGCTATAACCTCTGCTGGAATGAGAATGGTATGACCCTCTGTAATGGTATATGGGAAAGACCTTGGGAGATGGGGAGAAGAGATGCTGCCTAGGGAACAGTCAGATAAGAGAGGGCATAGCCTGCAGCTGGATAGTGGGCGGAACAAGAGGCTCAGAAGGGACTTATCTTCTCAGGCTGTAAAGGAGATGGCGGGAGATTTGTACTTTCAGACTTGCAAGATTCTGTTAATGTAGCCTTACAATAAAAT